TCTAAAAGTTCACATTACAGGGCTGGACACATCCTATATACTCATATCCTACCTGCCAAGGGTGCAGCTACCCTTTTGGTAGCAGGATTAGTACTGGGCAAATGTCAGAATTAGTTTCTTACTCTCAACTACTCTAGGAACTGGTTTGTGGCAGACTATGGAAGTATTTGTCTATCTTTCCTGGACCTCTGTGCAGAAGAGATTTTAACTTACCCTTATATCTAGCTTTTTTGACTCTATGCTCCAAACTTCTGTGGACAGGCTACAGATATGTTGGATAAGCTGTTCCTGTCTGCAGCTAAATTGTTTACGTAGTGGATGAACATTCATCAAGAGGTTGGATGGCATTCTGGAAAGTTTTTTTTTTCTTTTTGAAATGCAGGACTGAAAGGGTGGAAGACTGGACACATACTGAATGTAGCCACTGTTGCAGATTCAGTGTCGCAAAACCAGTGCCTTTGGCATTATAGGAGAAAAGGCAAGGTTTGCTGGGATCACAGCCATCCAGATGCGGGAGATTCAGCAGTGGTTCAAAAATGTATGCGTGAAGAAAGAATTTCTTAGAGCTACATCAAGAAGCTTGTCTCACCCTTCCCATATTAGAACACTCAATCAACAGAATCAAAACCAGTTTCTGGAAGCTGGCTACTCCAGACTGCCACCAGGTCATTGCAAACCAGTTTGGAAATGACAAGTAAATTGTTGGGCTGTTGAAGCTTATTAAGTGATTCATTCTCTGGCAAAAATGCCCCAGCTTTCAGGGAATAGGGTTCCTGAATTGTGCTTGCTCCAGCTGATTCTGACAGCTTTTACTATAAAGGGTGCTGCTTCTCCAATCAGCTGCACAAGACAGTGATGTGCTCCAGCTGAGTGGAGAAACAGCACTCTTTGAAGTAAAAGCCACAGCAAACAGTTGCACAGATGAGCCTTCACTCTTCAATCTGTTGTGAATGAAGTGGGTTGCAAGGCACTTAAACAGGAATGATCCAGGCTCTACTGCACCAGCATGGTAAGTGTTTTCCATGCCAGTGGTGGGATTCAATCTAAACCAAGGAGATTTTTCGTTGTCTGGAGACTGACCTGAGGGTAGCTATTCTCAAGCAGCAAACCTTTAAAAGCCGATTTGAATTGGCAATTGTGAAACAAATCATCCACAGACTGGATTGTGGTAAATATGGTTTAAACAGGGACTATGGATTCTTATCCCATTACCTGGATTAGTTCTTGTGACTCCTTTGTTCCTATGGGTTTACTGCCTGCATGTTTGCCTCTCCCAGTATTGCCCAGTTCTGCTTTTGTATTCAAATTTCTCTCTTATATACAGCTTTGTGCACATCCTTTCACAGCATCTGATGAAGTGAGCTTCAGTCCACAAAAGCTTATGCTATGTATGGAACAAGGCACACACATACACCCCCCAGTTTGGTTAATCCAGTGCTGTAGCAACAAAGTTTGCCACCCAGGGCAAAGCCCACAGTGGCAGGCCACCCTTGTCCCACACACAAATTCGGGAGGTACTTGACACCCCCCCCATGCTTGCCCAAGAGTGCATGCAGTGGCAGGAGCTGCCCTTCCCCCATTCCCTGCGTGTAACCCCCACCCCAGACAAACCACTCACAGCTCTGTCCTGTGCCCCACCCCAGCTGGGCAGTGCCTGTTGGCACCCCTTCGCTTTGGCACCTGGGGTGGTCGCCCTGTTCGCTCCCCCCTCCCCCCTTGCTATGGCACTGGGTTACTCTATAAGGTATAAATCTATCCTGCCTTCTACTTGACTTCAGACTAACATGGCTAACTGTGTCTTTGTCAGTGACCAAAGAGGTTAATAAGTTCCCAAAAGGTAGTTCCAGAAAGTCCAAGTACATTCCTGGGCAAGGCAACCTACTAGAGAACCTGCTGAATTAAAAGCTTGCAAGTGTAACCAATAAGTGAAGGAAAATTAACTGACTGCTGAACTAGGATGCAGAGGCTTGCTAGTAGTAGCATGCATCCTCCTCTTTCTATGCCACTCTAGCCAATTTCCCACGAACAAACAAAACAAGGACAAGGAGTTCTCCAGCAACCGTATCATTACATTAGCATAGCAGTCACAAAACAGTACTGCAAACATACAGTCCTGCTTTCTAGGCTTCCAACTCTTATGTGATTTCACTTTTTGTAACATGTAATGGATGATAGTTTGAAAGATTAACAAATTGTGTGCTCAAGTTGCTTTTTTCCTCCTATTTGGCTTTCATCTTGGATGACACGTAGTCATGGGAAGGCTCCATCTAAGAGGAACAGGAGGGCTATTCCGTAAGCGGGCTGTAGCTTAGCCTCATTCTCACCTGAAGCTAAAACACTTCACTAACACAGTCGCATAACTAAGCGAAGGGGGGGAAACTGTCCCAGGTGCCAACTTGGGGGCAGCGAATAGGAGCAGGGGCAAAACTGTGGTGGCTGATGGCAGCTGTGTGTTCACATTCATGATTGCAGCCAGAAACCAGAAGTCAGAGCTTCCACTTTGCCCAGACCACAAGTGCTACCTAATACGATAATTGGCATTAACACAGAAACCTCTTCGTATTAAAACAATGAAAACAAGACAAAAATGAACACAAAAGACAGCACTTACCATGCTACAGAACCAGTTCCTGATCCAGAGCTGTTCTCTCTCCCAAGCAGTTCTTCAGGTTTATCCCCAACCATCTTTTCACAGAATTTACCTGACTCCCATCAGGCTGTACCAGGTAAGCAGGACAAGATGGGCTTTTAGCTTTGTAGCAGTTGCTGATACCAGAACTCTCCAGGGGTATCGTCTGCGGCTACCTCAGCTCCTTTCCTTCAGTGTAAAAATAAGACCATCCAGGAAGGCATCTTCGGATGTGCTCAGGGAAGTGAAGTAGCAAGCACCTGGTAAAGCTCCTCAAAGCAAAGGCAGCAAGAGCACAAGTTTTCAGACCTATGGTTCATATCCTTCATCTTGGAGGAAAACTGCATCAAGTACCTGGACTGCACACCACTAGTTCTTGCCTTTTTCCCTTCCCTAAAACATAACCCTATCAGCCTCTTCAAAACAATTGCCTGGAAATAACTATTAACAGGGCATTTGCTAAAAACCATGATCTGGGAGTACTCATGCCAGAGATTAACTAGAACTCTGATATCCTCTTGTGGCCAGCTAGCACCATGTTTTGTGCACATCTTTAGTTTCATTTGGAACAGACCTATTGAGCTGTTTAAGTAGGAGCAAGCCACATCAAAGTGAAGAATTAAATGCCAAAAAAAAAAAAAAAAAAAAAAAAAAAAAATCTATGAAGCAAGATTTTTTTTTATATATCTTTTATTGGATCAAGACTAAAATTGGGGAAAGCTGTTGGACAAGTTTTTGGGCATTGTGTGCCCTCGCTCAGGTGCATTAGTTGACTGGAAAAAGCATCTAATACCCAAAAGCCTGTCCAACAACTCTCCAAACTGAACAGTTAGTCCAATAAAAGATCACAAAAAAGCCTTGCCAGTTGACATCTCCTGGACCATCACAGTTACAACACGCTAGCCCTACAAAAAAAGATCTATGCACATTAACAGGTAGTTTCAGGTGCATCTATAGTAGAGAGAACAAGTAGGCAGAAGGACTAGAGTATGCTAGTTCAGGTCACTAAAGGAACACCCACGGGAGACAGTTGGGACTGAAACTGGGAGGACTGTCTGCTTTCACAGTGCAAAGTTACCAGGCCACTTGTACTAATCCAAAGGATTCAGCCCGCTTGTAGGTGAGTGTTTGAGGAGTTTCAGTTTAGTTAATAGTAGAGATTTGACATCAATGTTTGACATGAAATGCAGAGATCTTGCAAGGCAGACACCCTGTGATGGAATAAATAACCAGGGCAGAATAGAAAGCAGTTATGGTACAACTTTCCCCTAACTTTCAATACTTTGAAGTTAGATTCAGCTTTGATGCATGAGGGTTTGATGCACTTGCCAGAATTCTTTTGGGATGGATGGGGGAAGTTGCATTTTAGTATCTTCTACTATAACTCTGCGCCATGGCACTGAGTGGAGTGTTCAGAAGTATCCCATTTACTTTCAATGACATAGCTCTCTAATCACTGTAGAGGGGATAAAGGCTTAATTATTACCTCCCTGATGAACTCAGAACCACTGCCAAAGTAGTAACGGTCATCCATTTGCTCCTACACTGCAGCTGCCCAAGCCCAACAATTTGGTGATGTAGACAGTTAACAGCAGCCTTGAACATGTGCCTCAGCACCACTCTCAGGGCTTCCCAAAACAGCAAACCCTAAAATGACAGAGCACATTCTCTGAACTGTTTTGTTCTAAGGCATAATCACTGCCCAGCTGTGGCTTAGGCATGCACAGAGTGGGAGTGAGTGTACAGGGCAGGCTTCCTTAGCCTTAGCATTAGTACCAGAGAGGCAGCATGTGCAAGGCCCAAATCATTCAGGCCCAGCTTTTTAACGGCTCTTTAGTGCCTGCCAACGTGAATAGGTTTTCAGTGACATTTTTCAAGAGTACCTGGATATTTAGTTGCATAGTTAGACACCTAAGTACGTTCTGAACTGTGGCCTTTATGCATGTTCAAAATGTGTATTAGTGGTGGGAAAGCTTTCTATTTGTTTTTGATCCTGCTAAACTAGTGGCTTCATCAAATATTTTGTCTGACTGCATGAGAAAGCATTCCTGCTTCACTTCAAGAAAAGATTGTTAGTTTTTCTTACTACTTGAAAGTCTAACTCCATATTCAGAAAAGATAAATAAGACCATTTGGCTTGTGCAAGTAGTAGCCCACCCTGTACTATGTAATAATCTTAATTTAGCCTTGCTACTCTTATGTAAATTAATATAATATTAAACATTCCCAGTTTCTCGAAATACTGTAATTACTTTTACAAGCAATTACTTTTACAAGTAACCAAGACTTCCAAGTATTCACCCTTATTTGCTCTCCATTTTACACACACACATTATTATAGCAAATAAACAGACGAATAAAAAGGAAGTTAAAAATTTACATTTTTTTAATTAAAAAACATATTAGAAATGCAATACAGAACATACTGAAACAGGGAGTCTTTTAAATGCATAAACACAATATATAACATTAACAATATGCATAAGCATTAAGCAGCAACTTTTTCCCCTTTGTGGTACCACTCCAGCTACTATTCTGGTTCTGTGTTCATTTAGGACTACACATGAATATGATTTATTCTACTTATGGCATAAACACTATTTGAAAGAGAATCTGCATTTGGAGAATTGACTCAAGCACAGGGGATTTCTAGAAGTATGTTACTGGAATTCTTTCTGAACTAGTTCTCATTACAAGGTGTTACAACTAAATTAATCCCAACTCACATATAGTCCACTTGCTACAGAAAATCTTTCATATGAAGATGTTAAACACCCTTTTATATCACAGTTACCCAGAAGAGCAGGCAACTAGTAAATTTCCACAGGTAAAAGAACGATAGAAAGTAATATTTTCTTCTTATAAAGAAAAAAAACACTCTTCCCTAAAGAATACTGTTAAAGCACTATAGCACATCTTTAAATTTAAAATAATGAAAACAGGCAATATTATCACTAAATCCATGTTACTACCAAGGGAACCAGCCCTATTGCAGTGTTATAAAACTAGACTTAATAACTGAGGGCTTTCTGCTTCACTTCCATATTTTTTTAATCCGAGGGGCTAGAAACTTGTATTTCTATGCACAACAGATGATCCAATCTCTCTGAAGTTGTGAAAAGACTTGTATTGATTTAAATAAACTTTGGATCAGGCATCAAGTTTCCTCAAAAATGTTAAGCTTGGAGCTGAGTTTCTTGTATTATCCCTTCTCCTATGACTGGTGAAGGATTCATCCCTTGAAACCTAGATGTTGAGACCTGCATGATCTTGACATGCTATGTTGGCCAACTGCCTTTATGTTCTTCAACATCTCTCTCTACAGTGAACACATGGCTTCCTTTATAGCCAAATTATCATGCCATCTCTACTGATTCCTGGATTCAAATTAATCTGCAGGGAGCACTAATGCTGTATAGTAAGAACTCCTGAGTGGACCGAAAAATCTGCCTGGACCCACCAGGAACGTGCCAGAAAGTGGCTGAACCTCTACTTCTTTCCCAAGCCATGTGCCCTCCCTTAATCCTGCTGGGCATTCCCAAAATCTGGCTGTGGCAGCAAGAATGCTTAGGTGCTTCAAGCAGATTTTCAAAGTCTCCGTTTTAAGTAGTGGAAGGTAGCATGTGCACCTGCATATCTAATGATGTCTTACGTTTTATCTTCTTTTTAAACACTGGTGCATATTGTGTGTTTTTACTGTGAATTCTGATTTCCAGCATTAGTGGGTCAAGTCATGTAGCTACTCTAGAAATACATGAAGTAAAGTACTTGAGCACCCAAGTACTTAATGAGAAATATAAGCACTGACTTTGCAAAATGGTTATACATTAAGCAAAATACTGGAAAAACTTTATGATTAGGAAGATCTAAAATAAAATGCAGTGAGTGGTTTTCCCTGGAAGTTTTACTGCAGGAGTCACTTACATGACCTGTATTTATTTAATCTGGTTCTTCTCATGCAGCATTACAGTACTCCCTCCCCCCATCCCAAAAAAGAAAATGAATATGCCACAAATTATTACAGATTGCACTTTTACAGCATGAACTTGCCAGTCTTCTATATTTTCAGTGTCCTGAATAAACAGTGTTAACACAGTCCTTTTCCTTTACGAAACAGGGAGATTTCTCCTGAGTACTTCTTTTGATGCTGCAGATATGTTATCTGGAAAAAGAACTTCAAATTCTATAATTAAGTCACCACGCTGATCAGGATTTTTGGGAAATGGTAATCCATATCCTATAATTCGCCTTCTCATACCGGGCTTTACAACTTCATTTATTGTCATAGGTATGGTTCTGCCTTCTATTGTTGGAACATTAACTGAACTGCCACATAAAGCCTAAAAAAAAAAAAACAGTAATATTTTGAAAAACAACTGAATTGTGACATTAAATTTGATACTGTGAATACATAAAATATTCTGCACTGAGCATCACTGAAAGGACAAGTGACACAAATGAAAAGCAGGAGCTATATTTCTCCCTTTAAAAGGCATGGATAACTTCATTTCTGATGTGTCCCTAATATCAAGATAGTTATCAATGTTGTGAAAATATTGTTAGGACAACTCCTGCTTCCATGACTTCCATATTGTTTATTCCCAACACCCTAAACAATATTAGATAATACATGGAGGGGGAACAGGAAGAATGAACATACTGTATACTCTATTTTGTTCATGAAACTCTACTTGATGACAAGGTCTCAGCTTTTGTTTGAAATTCAGAGTCTTGCTCAAGTTACATAAAGTACATATTTATTTTAAGACTCCTGCAACACCCTTGTTTGCTCAACCTTTTTTATTATAGGGACAGTGCTCAACATTAACACTGTGTTTACCGAGGCTTATACAACTTGACTGTCTCCTTTTCAATGCAAGGACTAAAATAAAGCCATGGATTCACATTCCTTGTACAAATTAAGACATAATTCCTTGGGCAAAATAAAATAAAATAAAACAAACCTACTAAAGAAACATTGCTGTTTAACAATATACACCCCACATTACTCCGTTTTACCCTTAGTCCCTACCATTAATCATTGTAACTTTTAGCCCAAAGCTTTGCTTTTTATGACTCACCTGATTCTGTGCATGTAATTTGGCTAACAAAATATTATTTTGGACTCAGTGGCCAAGTTGTATACATTCTTATTTATAAAACAACCAAATTTCTCATACCCGTATTAAAAACTGGCTTTTCCTTGTATTAGGTGTTCATCTTTCAAAAAGAGGCCTTGTGCTGGGAACCCATAATATGAGCAAACTGTAATAATATTCAGAATAAAAGCATATGTTCTTACCTTATGCTATAACTATTTCAATACAGACCAATATCTATTAAGAAAAGAAATACCCTGAAAAAATACCTTTAAGAGCTTTCCTTACCTTTACTTTTGATAGCAAACATTGATCTCTTTTTGGTATTGCATAAAAAATACACAAACAAACCATAATATTTAAACTATAACAGTTTTGTTGTCATATATACCTTTTTAGCACTTGTTCATAATGATTTAGCCTCATGAAATCTCTTTGTGCATTGTAAAAGCACAATGAAATAATGTGTGGCATGAAAAGAAAGACATTTAACAAATTTTGCTAAATTTAACTCCAATGACAAGCTGTGAAAAATGTTTGAGAGTGAATTACAGATGCCTCCTTCTCTTCATGCTAGAGAAGCAGGGATACTGTGTTACATCCAAATACTTCTTTTGGCAATATTTGTTGCTACTTCAACCTAATTTGCAGTAAGTACCAAAGGAAGTTAGGAAATGAAATATAGAAAAGTGCTGCTATACTTCCCCCTCCTGCTTACTGTCCAGCAAAGTGGTTTGTGATTCTGGCATGTAATTATGACCTATAGTTTTAATTCGACTTTAACTGTATTAGTTATAGAATTGTACCACTAGCTATAATAATTTGTCCTCAACAGCATAGCCACAGTACTATGCTAAGGCAATTTGTTTTTACATTTCAAATGAAAACTTACCTCTCGTAAGCTGATCTTAACAGGGTAAATAATATTTGACCCATCCCTCTTGAAGTGTGAGTGAGGTTTATCTTTAATGACAAAAACAATGTCAGCTGGGATTGTGCTGGGTGTTTCATCACCTTCTTTCGGGAAAGTGATTTTAGTACCTTCTTTCCACCCTCTCTTGATCTCTATAGTGAGAATTTTGTCCTCTGTTCGGACACTTCTGCCATCTGGGTTAAGCCTTTTTCGGGAAATCCTCATTCTTTTGGTGCACCCATGATATATCTCTTCCAGTGATACTTTAAGTTCATGGATAACAGGGGGATCCTGTTTGCGACGGAGTTGGCTACCAACTGTATTCCTTTCTCTTGGAAATCCATTCATGCTAAAACTGGTGAAGGATCCAAACGGATCACCATCCACTTCCATGTCTTCAGTGTCTCTTCCACCAGGCATTCTTCTACCAAAAAAAATCTCAAAAGGATTTGTGCCACCAAAAAACGCTGCAAACGTAGCATGTGGGTCACCATGGAAGGAGTACCGAAAGGTGCCACCTTGTCCATCAGGTCCTCCAGCGCCTCCTTTCAAACCTAATGAGGGAACATACGCAAAATTAGAAAAGCCCATATTAATAAAGTTATCAGAATGGAAAACACAGTATGATTCATGAAAGCAAAAATGCTGTTAACAGTTGTTCAAAGGAAGGAAGGAATTCTTAAAAGGGTTCCCTTTATTTATCACAGATTGTACAAATGTAGTAAGTAAATCATCATCTTAAGTAACCTACAGCTATTTTGAAGTTTTAGACTGATTTCTAGTCACTCAGTTAGAAAGTGCCCTGTCATTGCCATATCTACTTATTACTGGGCCACTCAGTCTTGGATTTTATCACCTTAGACTGAAAGTAAATGTCTGCATGATCATAAGGAAGATATTCCAATGCCTTTATTTGTCACCAGTGTTCTGATCAGTGGGAGCAGGCTTACACCCTATACCCTTGAAGAATATCTGTAAGTACTGAATGTACCCACTGACATGCTTCAAACAGACTAAGACAATTGTGTTGTCCCCTCATCCCCTCATCTACTACGTCAGACTTTGTAAGTCTTTCTTGCAAAGTAATAGAAAATACTTGGTTTTCTTGCATTTGGGGTTTGATATCCCACTTGAGGAAATATTTTGGGGAGTGCAGCACGTGAAAACAGACACAAGTTTTTATGAAAAAGGTTTTCAATTTTTTTGTCAAAAAATGAAAGCCTGCAAAGAAGAATTGGAGTTGATTTAATAATAATAAAATATATCAGAGTTACCCAAATAACTTTGTCTACTCCAGAAAATCTATATTTGTACACTGTAGAATAGCCGATATTGTGGACCCACAGGAGCCTTCCTGCTCCTGTTTTTTCTCCCAGTGCTTAAGCCAGTATATGTAGTCCTATAACTGCTTGGCCAATGCACAGTAGGGCTGTACAAAGCTTTGGTGGAGATTCTGTCCGATTCGGTGGCCGAATCTCTGAATCCGAATCAAATCAGGAGACCCTTTAATCTCTCTGAATCGAATCGGAACCCTCCGATTCAATTTGGAGAGATTCGGCGATTCGGACATAAACAGAGTTTTAAATGCATTTTCTACATACCTCAAGGTATGTGAATGCTGCGATGCTGGGGCAAATGGAGTGTCCCACAGGAGCGCAGGGGCTCCCCAGCACACTTAGCAGCAGACCCATAGGTAGATTGGACCAGAAGCACTTCCGGTCCATTTCCAGTTCTGCTGGGGGTCCCCCTGTACCCCCCCCCCAGCTTGA